ACCCTATGGCATTCTATGTGACAAAGTCTACAGAAGATGTGTTTATCACGGTGGAGTATGCAGATGGTCCAGCCTTTGAAGAGGTAAGTTAGACGGGACTGGACATTGCAAGGTACTGATGGGATTCTTTAAATCATTCAGTTTTAAGGAACTGATACAAATTCTTCAAGACCTTCAGTATCAAGGAACGTACTACGTGATGGCAATTCTTGAAAAGCTTCAGTTTCATTGTACTGATAGAGATTACACAGAGCCTTGAGTTTCATGGTACTGGTGGCTCTCTATTGCAAAGTTTGTTTGAGAGAATAATTTGATCATTACTGGTACTATAACAGTTACAATCTGCCGTATAAACTATCACTTACCTTTTACATGTATTTTCACTATTCCCCCAGGTCAGTGATGTTGACTCCATGTGGGAGTACCTAGAGGAGACATTTGTACCTTCCCTGTTCACTTCTACCTGGTATAATGGTGACAGTGTGACAGAGAGTGACAGCCTGACAGCTGACATGGTGTCACTCCATGTAGGGGCAGCCAGACTCAGACAGCTGAGAGTGAAAGGTTATATTTTATAGTCCCTCTCTACTGTTCTACACTGAGTATATTATAACTGTGGAGTTACTGTAAGGATCTGTGTGTCTCTCTTTCTTCTGTCATACAGATAGTGCATGCAGGCACACATACCTCTGTACACACACAAACACACACAGGGTATGTTATGACTTTGTGAGAGTATGTACATGTAGTCGTATTATGACCCTGCAGTAGTGAGTTCATTGAGCTTCTGTATCATATCTCTTGTATTTCAGATGTCTGTGATGTGCCCCCCACGTTCCAGTCCATGATCCACTCCTGTACAGTGAGATATGAATGGGGCACTGATGACAGCAGGGACTATAACACCTCATGGACACCCCTGGTCAACACAACTGACCACCCCACTGACCAGTGGACATACCAGTCTGCTTTCAAGCTGAGGTCACTTCCATTTGCTGGAAAACATGGCACTTACAATGGTAAACTATTTCTCCCTTTGACTATACATGTAGCAATTAAGTGCATAATAATGGTTAATTCAAACTGCTACGGGTATTTGTGGCTTGGTTTTTTTCTAGAATAGCATAAATGTTTATTTTAAAGTAATTAATTTGAAAATGTATGTTCTTTATTCATGCTTGCATTGCTTACTATTACTTATCCTCTTCAAGACTTGTCAGCATCCTTTACCATCTCCCTCTATCTTTTGCTGCTATCCTTGCTTTATTTGCCCTTTGATATTTACTATATAAATATAGGTTTGTGTTTTTATTGGGCTGTCTTTGTTGAATCCGTATTATGCTGAATTTGTTGACAAGAAAAATACCAATGAAATGAAAATATTGATTAGAATGTTAAAGCAGTTGTAATAAACCAATACACGACCATACATGTATATTTTGAACCTGGAGGGCACATTTTTGGTTCAAGTAAGAAAAAAATAACATTCTCTGTATCCATACTTTAGCATGTTAGTTGGAGGATGTGTAAAACTCCTTGATGACACTGGAGGAAAAAAAAACTCTCTATGACTATATGTATATGATATTTTAGGTGGAGGATATGTTAAACTCCTTGGTGACACCAGAAATAAAAGCCTGTCAATTCTTGCGGACCTGCAGGAGTTCAAGTGGATAGACCAGAGGACACGTGCCGTGTTCCTGGAGTTTACCCTGTACAACCCCCAGGTTAACCTGTTTAGTGTGGCACAGTTACTATTTGAGTTCCACCCCACTGGGGCCATCTTCCCTTTCTATCAAATCTTTACATGTAAATTTTACCAATATGGGTAAGTTATTGCTGGGGCTGTCTTCTTGTTCTATCACATCTTCAGCAATTAACCTTAATACTCATAAAGAACGAGTGTTAAAGATAAAGTGGAGGCTTATGTGCTTATTTTTAAAATTTTTGGATTAACTTATAATTTTAAGGCTTTCTAACTACTAAGTACATATATATATAGGATAATAATAATTTTAGTATAAAATGAATAAAGTGTTATAAAATATACATTATAAAGCAATGCAAGTAAAGAGATACAGTTAAAATGAAATTTTATTTAGAACAAATTTATAACAACAGCCCTGAAGTCAGTAGGTATACATTTGTTGCCAGAAAGGTGGTGATTTGATAAATCTTCATCATTAATTTTATTCATCAGCAGTATATCATTTCTGTGAGTTTGATCAGGTATCAATCTCTTTATTATTTATTTTTAATTATTTTCATTTCAGGAATGGGTTGGAAATCTTTGTCGCAGTTTGTGAAGTTATGTTCATCCTGTTTATACTGACATCCACATACAGAGAGTTCAGCAAATTCAGAAACACTGGTTCTAAGGAATACTTCTCAGATCCTTGGAGTTACATAGAGGTGGCAATTGTCTGCCTGGGATACTCAGCCATTGGTCTGTTTTTTCAACGTTTAGTCATAGTGAACTTCACCATTGCCAATTTCCATGAACATGGCAGAGAGGAATTTGTGAACTTTTTCCCAGCAGCATTCTGGGACTACATCCTGGGCTACACCTTGGCAGCCATGCTGGTGCTGACAGTGCTTAAGTTTTTCAAGCTGCTACGGTTTAATGTCCGCATGAACATGTTGTCTGCCACTTTGAAGAAATCTTGGAAGCCTACACTACATTTCTATCTAGTTCTAGCTTTCCTCATGATGGCCTATGCCTTCTTTGGGCAATGTGCTTTTGGTCACTACATTGAAAAATTCAAGTCCTTAATAGACACGTTACAGACTTTGTTCACCCTGATCATGGGAGGATTTGAGTTTGCAATTCTGGGAGACTCAAACCGTGTCATTGGTATTGTGTTTCTGATAACCTTTGCCATGATAATCCAGGTGACGCTGATCAATATGTTCATTGCCATTATCGACGAGTCATTCAGATATGTTCTGAAGGCCACCAAGGAGACTTCCAATGAGCTGGAGATGGTGGACTTTATGTGGACTAGATTACTGGTGATTCTTGGTCTCCACACAGGGGCAGGGGTCACCATTCCTTCCAGTATTGATTTGAAGACACTGCAACAAGAGACTCAGGGTGAAGTTGGTTCAAATACAAATAACTGACCTTTTAGAGAATTGATTTTTTACATTTTCTTTTTCTGAACAAATTGATGCTGTAGGAATCTAAGCACCAGAACTGATTTTTAACTTATTCCACAAACAACTATTTTTTTTTAATTTGACCACCACAAGAAGCTTAGTTTTGAAATTTTCCAAACAAGTTGATATAATTCTAGAATTATGTTTAGTTAATTTTGTTTGAATAATTCAACAGATAACAATATTTGATATGTATATTGAGTATATGATCAGAGTTCTGTGTATAATTGACTTATTAATGCCGCTTGCTGAAAGCAGGAAATTGTATACTTTAAATGGACCAGACTGTTGGTGGTCCCCACATGGATGTATGTTTTGTGTTTACTAGTAGCAGACTTTTATTTGATTTTTTAAGTATTATTTATTTTCAGCATCCACTAAAGTCACAATTTGCATTTTAAAAAGCCAGTTAGAGACATTTTGGGTTAAATAAACTAAATGCCAAATTTAAGATGCAGTAAAAACTCAGTTTGGATATTAAGACAGAACTACTTTAGAAAGAAATGGGTTTGACTTGAGTAATCATATAACCTTGGAGTTCCAGCTGTTACATGGCACCAGTTAAACCAGTTTGTGGTGTGAACATGTTTAGAAATAGAAGTACACCAGATCAAGAGAGAAAAATTGACACAATGTTTGCCCATTTTAAGGCTCTTTATATTGTTGTTATTATTATTTTTATTTTTGTTGTTGTTGTTGTGACCCCTCAGTTTTAAATTTTTATGTATTTGTGGATATTCTTAATATATCGATTTCTGTCATAGTTGCTGCTGTATTTGTGGATAATCTTAATATTGTATTTTATTCCAATAATTTGATATTCACTTTTTGAAATTTAGTGTCATAATTAATGTTATCTTTCCTGTTATTTAAATGTAATTGCAGGTTTTGTAATACTCGACTAATTATAAGGTTTAGAAACTTTTTTTCTGGTTTTTATGCAATTTTTACATGTTAAAGAAGCATTTGGTATGAATTTATTAAGAAATAAACTGCAGTTATGTCTTTGTTAGGTATATTGAATGTTTCACATGGTTATACTCCTGCACAAACAATTGATATGAAAAAAGTTTATCAAAGATAATTATGGGCTTTATATATATAGAGAGAGAGATAGATTGATCCAGATGTCTGTGGGAACTAAGCCACAAAAATATAGTTCTACCTTGTAAACATTCAAAAATTAAAAGTTATTACCAATGTCCCTATTATTTTAAGCTATTTGAGTTTGTACGCGGACATTTTTCACAATTCTTTCTCTGTAAAAAATACTAAAATATTGTTCTTAAATATAGATCTCAAATTGAAAATTTAAAAAAGGCTGAAGCTAAAAACTTAAAGATGCATTATATACATGTATGTATATATGAAGTCAATGTTTTGCCGCAAAAACCAACCAAATGCCATATAGTTTAATTTCAAATAGTATAACTAAGATAATTACCAAAAGACATTCTTTAATATTACCAGAAAAATGATATTTGAACGGATTTTCTGCTAGCTTTCTATGCTGTTTACACGTGGGGCAGAAAAGTAGGTCACATAAGTAGGTTAAATTTCTGACCAAAAATTTAAAGAAGGGAGCAGTCTAAAGCTCTTTTATAGCTGATCGAGTGTTTTATGCAGTTTATCCCTTGGCATGTCGACTTAATTTGAGCTGTATAAGAAACTAGTAGAAGTTGTTTATACGTGTTATCGGGAATCCACGCTCCACCGGTGTTTGGTTCATACTGTAGTATGTACCATTAAAGGTTGCTGATACAAATTGTTCAGAATAGAAGAATCCAAACTAACAGCCTTTATCCTGTCACTATTTTTTTTTCGCACTTTTTTCATGGTTCAACGGTTGTTGATACATCTATTGTTTGAAAACACTTTCCTAATTCATCCTTTTTTTATATAATTATTTTCACATATCGATTGCTGTCATAGTTGCTGCTGTCAGTTGGCTGCCGTAAAGAGGGTTTCTAAAGCTGGACTGTCTGTTATATGGGGTAGCTTGCGGTGGTGGCGGGGGAGGGGCAGGTGGGAGCGGTGCCATTCCATAACTCGGGTTTTCCGTTTTTAGGTTGGTACCCTGAAAATAGAGCAAAAAAAAGGCATGTGAACTCGATAAATACATGTATATGAAGCCGAGGAAAAACCAGTTAATTACATTCAGAATGAGTGATCCGCACATGTACAACACGTACTTGTTATTTCTTCATGGAATTAATGTTGGTTGCGTTTTAGACCCAGTTCATTTTTCTTTTCCAGAAACACCATGCACAATGGTCATTATGAGCCTAGGTAACGCCACAATGCTTCCCAAGCACAGTGCATACTAGTACACATGGTACACATATTTAAAAAAAAAACGACTGAAATTTCTCCTTTCAAGAGTACTCTTACCTCTCTGACTCTAGCGNAAAAAAAAAAAAAAAAAAAAGGCATGTGAACTCGATAATTACATGTATATGAAGCCGAGGAAAACCCAGTTAATTACATTCAGAATGAGTGACCCGCACATGTACAACACGTACTTGTTATTTCTTCATGGAATTAATGTTGGTTGCGTTTTAGACCCAGTTCATTTTTCTTTTCCAGAAACACCATGCACAATGGTCATTATGAGCCTAGGTAACGCCACAATGCTTCCCAAGCACAGTGCATACTAGTACACATGGTACACATATTTAAAAAAAAAACGACTGAAATTTCTCCTTTCAAGAGTACTCTTACCTCTCTGACTCTAGCGTTTCCTGAAGTCTTCTCTTTCAGTTTGGCATAAGGAGCGTCATCGTCGTAATCGTCACTCCCGCCATCTGGCGTCCGAGATGTTGCGTTGTTCAGCGTCATATAGTGCGAAGAGGGCGAGCAGTAACTGTATACAAAACATGCAGTGATACTTTAAGGTTGAGCATCACACAATGAAGTATCTGATTTTATCGAGGCTGTGACAATATTTAAAACTGCAAAATCTAAACAGGTTTCACAATGCTTCCATTAAAAGTAATTAATAACTTATGAATTTATCAAGGCTGTTACTATTTTTTTTATTCAAAATGTAAACGTTTTTGATAATGCTTTCTAAAAAAAGCACATTTCTATTGATATATGCTGATGAGAGAGAGAGAGAGCATAAGTTACCCGTCATCATCATCGGGTTCCCCGTGGATAGAATCGAGAGTTGCGTAAGTGTTTTCTACATCGGCGTAGTCACTTGGCGACTGGTAATGGGGCTCTGGATAATAGGCCACCGCCGGCTCACTGCCACTGCACAGTGAATACATACGGAGAACACCGTGTAAATTATAATGTAAATTTATATACATATATATATAAATGGTTATTTTATTAAAACAATTGTCTTGTATAATACTTTTTTTGGGGTTCCTCTAGTTATTTAAGGCAATTCTTGTGTGACACTTACTGGCACACCATCTGTAGGGTTGTCAAAACATCTAGGCAAATTCTAAACTATTTCATCGACATGCGGCACATTTAAGCTGCAGGCGAACAATTACAAATCTCCGCATTTTGTAAAATAATATAAGATCTGTCCTTAGTGAAACACGGAGATGACAATGGTCTGTCATGTTGTGGTCACGAGGTATGACGTAGTCAGCCACGTTGGGTCACGTGGTACTTACCTCTGGGCTGGTTTCTGGTTCCTCGCCCGGAAAACAAAAAATATCACCAGGCCCCCAACGATGATCCCCAGCAACAGCACGGCGACCACTATACCAGCCATGAGGCCTCCATCTACACTATTTTGACCGCTATTTGTACCTAACCGCCCATCATTAAATAAAAGAAGAAAAAACGAAGAACTTTATGAATAAATTATTCTATTAAGAATGAATAAATTGACTGAGTGGACATCACATTAAAACAAGGTTGATAGTTTTCATGGTACATGTACATGTATTTGTGCCTAATTATATCAAGTAGGTCAGGTAGATGTTGGCCTACTATGTAACCGCAAGCATATCTGCGATAAAGAAGGAACAATAAATAAAGCAGCAGACGGACGGACAACTAACAAACGAATAGACAGACATTTACTCATGAACAGATAAGAACATGAATGATTAAGCGAAGAATTGATAATCAACAGGTACTATATATCTAAAAACTACTGAACAAGTTAATGAAAAGGGAAAATTACTTATAAATTAACATAAGAATAAATATATACGCATACTAGTTAATGGAATAAAAACATTTATTAATAGGGCATCTGAAGTACCACTTTGATTTCTAGTATAGCAGCAGTCAACCGTACTATTTTGCTCCTGAATTAACACCCACTTTTTATGTTTCCAGATGAAGTCGTGATTTGCCCGTGTACAGCTTTAGGCGTAGTTTTTTCGGTAACTGGAAACATTAGCAAACAATTGATGTTAAAAATTGGAGCCATAAATGCAAATCATGATACCCTTGGGGTATGATGTCTAAGACTTAATTAACATAATTAGAAAAGGTACAAAAACACGTGTTTAGCATTTGCACAAATAAACAATGTTTGATCACATGTATACATAAGTTCAGCATGGTAATTTTACTTATAGTTAACAAAACTGCCGTTATTTAGACACTCACATCAACATTTTTTGTTAAAGTCGTCAATCTGAGCTTCGCGTTTTGCATACCTCAGTATACATCCCATAATGATACACAACAAGCATGACAAAGCATAAAAAGGCGTGCACTCTAGTGAGGTGAAACCGTAATGTAAGTAAACTCACAGCATGGTCCCAGCAAACACGTCACGTTGGTTCCTGGTTCCACGTGGTTAATCCGTAGTTATGACGTTATTATAATGTGGTAGCAACGTGCTAGCCACGCGATCCGAACGTGACGTGCTTGCTGGGGTTCTTTTTTTGGAAAACTGTTTCACGAGGCTTAGCCTTAACAAAATGCACACTATATAATAGACCTTTTGCATCAATGCCACAAAGCATCACTTCTGAAACCACTCACTGGCAGGTGCCGAGATGTCCAAACCACAGCCTTTTTTCTGTTTATTAATTATTTATTATTATTATCTTTTTTTTTATTTTTTCTTTGAAAGCGTGCGGAGTTCGAGGTTTTATGAGGGGATCCCTGTTCTCCTACAGGTCTATTTATGTCATCATTGTGTCTTCAGAATTTCATGAAAATGGAAATAAATGTTTTAAAGTACCTGCTTATCAATCTTATCATGTGTCGCTAATCAAAATATTGCCAGTATACAAAATCAAACCCGTTCTCTCTCAGATAGGGTCACGTGTCGTAATTAGCCAGGTAATTAGTCGGCTCAGCTCGAATATACGACAGACAGGCAAATCACAAGTGGCATTGATCGCAAAAGGTCTATCATCTCGTGGGCCTATGAATTTTCGAACACTTGCGAGGTTTCAGCCTCACTAGCATGGTTCTGAGTAAAAAACCAAAGCCTACACAAAGAGGTGGATCCTACGAGCGTTGGCGAAGAAGAGAGAACCTGCCGAGAAGAACCCACCGAAGCAGTGGACGAAGACGAAGGCAAAGCAGCAGAAGACCCAGTCCAGTAAGCAGTCTGTCTCGGAGTACTTGCTTTACTATCAGGTTGTTTAGATGATGTTGGTGTTGTTCTTGTTGTTGATATTAATGTGTTTCCAGCGTATGTGGGTAATTGCGTGGAGTCAGATACCGTTATTATCGATTGCATTGTGTTAGAGGAGAACAGTGTGGTTGTGGTGGATTGCGTTTTGATCGCCGAGGATGCACCTATGTTTATATTACTACTAGAGATTTCCATTGTTTCCGTTTTGAGATTAGGAATATCTGAAAAACCAACAATTATAATTCTCATTTATTTTTGCTATTGGCGACTTGCACATGGATGAAAATGACCATTAATAAATCACTGCATTGTGAAAGTAGTACTGTACTTTTAGTAGCTAGATCATTCACTGGCCAAACAAAAGCAAGCCAATAATCCAAGCAAACTAAGATAACAACAAGTAAAGAAAAAAGTGGGAAAGGAAAGAGAGAGAGAGAGAGAGAGAGAGATGAGAGCGGAGGAGATGGGTTTTTCATACACATTACACAGCAACGCCAAAGAAACAGAACACAACTGGAGGAGGCACAGAGCATACATTTCGACAGACACAAAACCAAAATTTAGATCAAAACTTAGAGACCATTCAGAATAGAAGACCCGAGTATCAACTGATCCAAGAATTAAATATGGCGGACCCTCCATAGAAGGAAGACGGCGTAATCCTCTCACACGCCTCCCCATGCGTCCGGTCAAATGGAGCCGAGATTTAATTACTGTGTCCTTTCAGAGGGATGACGCGTGGGAGACCATTTCAGGATTAAGCGGTCTTCCTTTCTTGTAGAGTCCGCCACATTTTATCCTTGGGTCAGTTGAAACTTGGATCTTCTTTTCTGAATGGCTCCTCGCACTTCACATAAAGCATTTCTATTCAACTCTTCCTGTTACATCTATGGTCTAGATTAAGAAATTCTTTAAAATTGTTCATTTGCCAGGTGCCATTTTTTTAAATTACCGGTTGTACCCTTTGGCGTTGTTGTCGTCGGTTGCTTCATCTTGGTGGTCAAACCAACGGTCCCCAGTTTTGCCGTTGATTTTGCCCGACCTTCTGTAGTCGAGGTCGATGTTAAGGGACCTTCTTCGGTGGTGAAACTGTGCGTGATACGGCTAGAAGTTTTTGTAACGAGCGGTCTCGTGGTCGTGCTTGACCGCACTGTAGATCTACTTGGAAGGGTGGACGATAACGTCACACGTGCGGTGTTTTTCGTCGTGTGTATTGAAGAAGTGGCGGTGGTTACCGAAGTAACTAAAATCCGAAAACATAGTCTATAACATAAAAGTCCCACTAAAACAGTAGTTAAATGTGCCCAAGATCACAAGTAAAGACCTTTTAAGATCTTGACGAATACGCTGTCTTGCTTCTCACAATGATTATTTTCGCATAATAATTGCTCATAATCAGTTACGACTAAACCCATTTTTTCCCTTTTTCTTTTTATCCTGAAATTTGTTATTTCCCGTACAGGTACCAAACCCCAATAAATCACAACTTAATTTAATCACACAGGAAACAATAAATGACACAGAAAACGGTAAATGAAGGAATATAACTTGCCCACTCGACAGCTTGGGGTCAGAGTGACGTCATCAATGGCGACGACAGTATGGCCGTCTGGATTGGCCGTCAGAGAGATCTAAACAAATGTGGAAATATTATCATTAAAGAGCAACTATAAATCTACAAAGATAAGGAAAGAAAATGCGTTTTACATCTGATCGTTTTTGATGTCATTACAACTAAAATTATGAAAATCAGTTTGCCGAGCGATCAAAGTTTTGCCTACTCTAAGCTCAAGCAGCGTCAGCTTCTTTACCTTCAAACTGCTGTACTCGGTATGTGCACGCTTTTTTTAAAATCTGACCTTTAAGAATTTAGTTTGAAGTTAAACGAGTCAGTCAGAGACGATCGAGCCTCCAGTTATCCGGAATTCGTGATCTACCGTAGAAGGACATTTGTAATCGCCGCGGTATAATTTTATTAATTTTAATTTTGAAATGCCTCTGATACTGGTCCTTGACGTTTCCCAATGTGAGAGTAGTGGTTAACCTGACAGTGGCACAGCAAATTTCCCTAACAAAACGAACAATTACATGTATACCAATATAGTAGGCTTGTTAAGGGGTCAAACGCTGCATTTTATAGTACAAATGTCTAACTTGACATGAATGTTTCTCGGGCCAAAAGAAAAATTTTTTCCGTACCTTTGCACTTGGAAGTGGGGAGTTCCCAACACTGATGGGGACCTCGTAATACTGCCACGTCCCGGCCATGTCCACTGTGTACCGCCCATAACTTGACCACAATGGGTACATCAGTCTGCCGTATGGCGTTGATACGCTCATCACAGACGAATGTCTGCTGGCCCAATAGTAGAAACGAAACTGAAAGTAGATAAGGCGCGATTTAAATTGTAATGCGGTTTTACCACCCATATGGCGAACTAATAAGCTTAATATGTTTATGCCAAAACTTAATCTCTCTATTATCGTACCTTGCAATGCTGGTCTGGTATTATAGTATGTGGGAAGGTGACTGTTTTCTGTCCAGTTGACGTGATAGCCATGAGAAGATAATTTGTATCTACATAAAAAGAAAACAACGTTTCATATCGCCAGTTTTGTTAATTCAATAATACGTTTAACAGAGAGCGTCATAAGACATGTTCACATATGTACTGTTATTCTGCAGTTTTTTAATGCAAATGTTTATGTAGCATCGTATTTAAAGCTTACCACTTTTCTGTCTGTTTGAATGTCACACACACGAAACGTATACTCGGATATAAAATGTGTGATGTTTTGATCAATCGAAATCTTATGTAACGGGATATATACTAGAAAATAATTACAAATTTATGTTTCAATACAGGGTCCAAAAGCTTCGGGTCATACATGTCATAAAAATGAGAATGTGCCAATGAAATTTATTTGTTGTGACAAAATTGATTATCATTTTATTGAAGGTACGTCTAATCTTTGAGTAAATGGTCTACATTGGAAATAAACCCCAGAAAAATATGAAATGGCTTGTATGTCAATACAAAAAAATATCACGTCAAACATTTTAGCATGTTTGTCGTATGTTTGTATATTAATAAGTGATGAATTATTTTAAGAATTATGAAAACCCCCGCTAAATTAAAAAGGGAATAACAAACTGATACCAAATGCTTGTTATTCACGTGGGAGATAGGTAAACAGAAAAATCAAATCACTTTCTTTCAACACAAAATGAATGCTTTTTCATAACCCTTGATCGATTTCTAAAGCATAAACATAAACATGTTGAACATTATGACATCGTTGAAATAAAAAGTCTAATCTAAACAAGTTATCCATAAACTCAAACGCTATCAACCGCTTTTGTTCAAGCACGGCATTCCTATACCATTTCTTCCGTTATGGTCAGAAGTTGGTCCCCCTGACCCTGACGAGTCTCCCCTTGCCGAGGTCCAACCCGTTCCCACAATCCACTGCGCCATGCAAGCAGAGCTTTCGTTAAAATCACATCTGGCAGGAAAATGTGCTGTAAAATAGAATGAAAATACAATACACATATAGGCCTCATTCAGAATAGGGGACTTACTAGCCTGAGGGTCAAATATGGCCGACCCATTACAAAGCTTGCCGTCCAATCCGCTAATAGACACTGAATAGATTCCCCATTGGGAAGTATTCAAGTAGGTCGGCCATACTTGACCCTCGGACTAGTTAGTCCCCTATTCTGAATGGGGCCATAATGGCGTATTGGCGATGTGACATGACTGGGAAGAACCATGCCCAGACCATCGTATATACTCAGACTGTTCTCTTAGGCCTAATTTTAATTATTTAATTATTTTATTAAAATACCTTATAAACACTGCTATGAGGGTAGAATACACAGAAACACTGGAAGAAGCATGCCGAGGCTTTTGTCCAGTAGTGGAACACTTTAAGCTTTGAATGATGATGGTGGTGGAAAAAAAACTCGGTTTTCTCTGGCATCGGCCAGTATAAGCTACCTGTACTTGCAGAATATTTTGTGAGGGAGACGTGGGGGAATCAAGGAGGTGCCCTAAAAGGTAATTTGACGAGGGCAAACAGCACATGTCCTCTTTGTTCCATTTTATCGGCCCTTGCAAAACTATTACAAACATCAATGAACTCACTGCAGTTCTTTTCATCCGAGACATCTCCACACGTGTCCCTGAAGTCACACACACCGCTCTGAGGTATGCAGTTCTCGTTGTCACACGTGAACTCGTCGTGCGATTGACACTGTCTCTGATAACCTAGGGAAATCGATAAACTTTTATAAAAAGTAGCGTAAGGAGAACCATATAAGTAATAACATGACTGAAGATATAAATAAGTACTTAACGAGTACATTGTAAACTCCTCATGTGATAAAAATGTCTGTAAACACACTCAGCGAAGACCATGCGGCTTGTAGTATAAAAGCTAGCGGCTTCAATGTCTGGCACGAAACGCTAAGGGTGGGGGGGTAATTAACTTTCGTGCACGCTTAAAATGAATGCAATTTAGCGAGAATCATTTCGGAGACAGTTCGATCCCGCTGGTACCCAGTCTAACTGAAGCCACGTTTTACCCATAAAGGGCCCTTATTGGGCCCAGCTACTGCAGAACTTACCCTCGCACTGTACATTTATCACCTCTTGTTCCCCGGCAGTTTGACAGGACGGTGTGGCGGATTGTCTCGTACAGTCTCGAAGTCTCCTCGAGACTGCGGTACATTCGAAGGTGAAGGGCAGTAATGGCAGCAAGGGAGCTGTGACTGTAGACCTCTGTGCTGTCCCGGACTTGTACCCCAATTCCCTGGCGGAAAAAGTAGAGCAGGCTTGTTGAGGGGTCAAACGCTGCATTTTTACTACAAATGTCTAACTTTCTTATTCATGGAGACAATCTCTATTGATGCATAAATTAGCATAATTAGCATAAATTATGCAAAATTAGATGCCATAAATATAAAATTTCATATTTTTATCAGGTTTTTTGCCTTAAGACATGTGAAGATTTTCAAACCTGACTACTGTACATTAGGGACAAGGAAGCCTTTTTAACGTTATGGAAGCAATCGGCGGTCATTTTGTGTCTCAAATCAAAGATGGCCTCCATATGTGGGGTAGCGTGAAGTCAATTGATGTTCTCTGCTGCAATAGTGCTTGTCAAATATGGATTGATATATAACCTTTAACAGTACAGACTATGTATATGAAAAAATATGAATTTCATGTCGTAGTAAAAAAATGAGAAGTACCGATGACGATAAAAAGGAAGATATATTGACCGTAATTATATATTGACTGTTCAGCTGCATGTATGTACATGTAGTATCATACCTGCAAGCGACGGTGGCGATGTTTCCCATATTCTGCGATGCGCAAACTCTCTTTGTGACACCCCCGTGGAACACTTGAAGAATCCCCGCTGACAGACTTGCATCGGAGTCCAAAAGTACAGAGAACTCCCCTGAAAGTACATAGTGAAACCATATGTCTATGAAACCACGTGTTCCTTGTGGCAAAGACGAAAACACAGGAGGTGGGAGTGGGGTTGGCTGGGTGGGGGTGGAGGAGGGGTGGGAACGGGTGGGGTGGGTGATGGTACAGGGGCGGATCCAGGATTATTTGAAGGGGGTCTGCGGATGTCACTTGACGTTGGGTTCGTTGTCTGCCGAAGGGCCCCGAAAAATTTTGGTATTTTAAAGGGCGAACGGTGCCATTTAGTACGGTTTAGAAATATGATTCTTATTTCAAGAGGGGACCAGAAATCGAAGGGGGGGGGGGGGGTCAGGACCCCACTGAGCCCCCTCTAAATCCGCCACTGTGGTATGTTACAGACAGGGTGACAAATATACTGTATCTTTCTCATTCTTACAAACTACATTTCACTTCTTGTAAGTAATGCCTACATTCAGATTCTCATTTTAGTGAAATGACTTTTGTCTAGTTGATTATTTTTGATTTTCTTTTTCTTTTAGGCCAATATGACATACTTTATCAAAAGCATGCATTTTACAAACCGGGTGGGAGGGGGCACTGTCAGAAAGTGAAATAATATCAGTACGCAACACCTGTTTTACTGCTAAGAAACATTTCAGTATATGGGGCAGCTAGGGGCATTTGGAATTGTGGGACCAAAATAACATTCTGTCTTTTCGTGGTCACGGATTATGGCTGAACCCAAAATTGTGTCTAGGATAGGTGGCAAGAGTTTTTTTTATATGACAGACGTTTAAAACACTAGTACTCTTGAAGATTATTTCTGTCTTCCAAATTTACACTTTCTGTTTGAGATCCTCCTTCGAGTATTTTCCAATAGACCATAAAATTCAAAATGTATTCATGGCCAAGTACGCACGATTGAGAAACTCCACAAGATGAAAGCATTGTAGATTGTCTGCCATTCGGGTAATCCCGGCCCTTTGCGTACCCCCACGCCACTAGTATGATTCAATTACGGAATTAGCCGAAGTTTTCCGGCTGTATTCGTCCTCACCTGTGAGATGGCAGCCTTCTGAAAACACCAGGTCATCTATGGCGATGTCTCCTCTACTGCCTGTGCCAACAACGCCCTCTATCACGATCTGCAAGGTGATGGAATCAAATATAGCACATTTTAATCATGCAATTAATTTAAAGAGAAATGCAAACTGGAAATAATGGTATTTGTCTTACTTATATTGCAATGTAAGCATTATGACATTTGGCTAGGGAGATTTCATAAAGTGGTAAAATTTAGCACCATTAAAATGCTTGGCCCAGATAGTGAATTTAATTTAACTGGCAGATGTTCAAACCAAGAACTTATACCAGTAGACATATGTTATACAATGTAAACAGAGCCTCTGTATACGGGGCTTATTCAGAAAACAACTGGAAAAGGTTTGGGAATTATTTAAAAATTGTTGTTGTTGTTTTTTATATACAGCCCCATTGACATTCGCATTTATTTTATTTGTTACACGGGTACATGATTTTGGTTCAGGAAAATATTTTTATTATTCTTTTTTAATAGAAAATACTCAGTCTAGTTCTTAAAATCGGTTGGAGCAACAGCGACAAAATTTCTGTGAATGAGACAAAGAGATCTGTTACGACGAGAAAGAACCGTGGAATGGGGAACATGGCAGTGGGTATTGCTGGTTGTCCGTGTGTTGTTCTTACATTAATCTAATGTTGTTCTTACTGTACATATGTACCTTAAACTGCCCCTGTGAGGCGGGGAGTGCCTGCGTGTGTTTTTTCCATATATTTCCCTGGTTGGAACTTGCGACAACTGGGTTGCCTTGGAAACAGCTACCGTTCGCCAACATCTGTACGCATGCCCTTAACTCCCAGACATCATCTCCGTACATGTGATAGTAGAGACTGAACTGTGGATAGAAATGACGACAAAACTTATCCTTTATAATTACCGGTATTTTAAAAACATCTAAAATTGTGCTTGGTTTGGCGTGGAGATATGATGAGTAACAGAATGTCTTTAACCGTCTCACAGTTTTGATTATACGTACATCTAACTACAGTTAGTATACATGTATTGAAATTTAGAAATAACAAAATTCTGAATATGAGTTCGTTTGGATTAATACAGACACTTCATGTTTATCTTTTTTTATTCAGTGCAAACATACCTCGCACTGGTTTTGACCGAGGAGGAACGAATTCATTATCGGACTCTCTATTTTCGCCCTATGTCCAAAACGCTTGTTAGAAGATTCTATATGGATGTAGGTTCCGGAAGCTGAATGAATAAATGAATGAATAAATTAAATACTAAATGAATAAGCAAACAAACAAACAAATAAATAAATAAATAAATAAATAAATAAATAAATAAATAATTGATTGAAGCAGTTAATTATTAAATACAAAATTGTTTCGCATAATTCAGTCGTGGTTGCGAATTAAAACAATATCGGTATCGGGCGTTGTCCTTATATTCTGATCCCCAACCCCTGAAATCCTCTTCCTCATCAAAATCCCGAATCCCTCCGAGATATGCTGATTAGACATAACTCTTTGAAGGCGCAAAAGTAACAATGGATATTGCCAATACAACCAATATTGCGCCCTGGAAAACATTCAATAATAATAATTATATTTTAAAAAAATAATAATAATATGATCCAAGGACTCTTAAACACGATACTTATTACTTGTGTGTTAACTGTGGCCAAGCAGTTAACACGCGTTTTAGCCATTACACTCACCGTTTCCATATGAATGGTCAGCATCAGGTCCAGTTCTTCCAGTGGGCGTCCTTCCCTGCCTTAATGACCAATCAAAATCATCGTCTGACATCTGGATCCAACTGCAGAGGTCGCCACTTTGGAAGCTACAATCCGGTGGAACGATGGCATCTATGGGTAACATGAAAGTTTAATTTATGACAAAAATAATAACAGCACAATAAAACTGACAAATAGAAAGAAAACCACGAGTTCAGCATGAGAAAGGGCAGTTGGGCATTATATATCAATAAATATCAAGTGGAAAGATCCCGCCGGGGCGGTAGATCAGCAAGAGAGCGACAGTGTGCGCTCAGACAGTACAGTTAGGTCAGCGAGAAGACCGCAGTGTGCTTTGTGAAGGGAGGCCAGCGAGAAGACCGTGGTGTGCGTTGCCACGGTAGGTCAGCGAGAGGACCGCAGTGTGCTCTGTTCTCTGGAAAGCCACATTCCTTAATAAAGGTGACAGACTATAGAAGTTGACAGGGCTGCAGCTGATTAATCTTGGATCAAGCAGGCTAAAATACAGGTCCCAACTTTTAAACCAACTATGAGTCGCATAGCGAGAGGACCGCAGAGTGCTTTGTGAAGGTAGGTCAGCGAGAAGACCGTGGTGTGCGCTGGGACGGTAGGTTAGCCAGATGACCGCAGTTTGCGTTGGGATGGTAGGTCAGCGAGAGTACGGCAGTGTGCTTGGGGACGGTAGGTCAACAAGAGTACGGCAGTGTGCGTGGGGACGGTAGGTCAACAAGAGTACGGCAGTGTGCTCTGTTCTCTGGAAATCCACTTTCCCTGATAAAGGTGACAGACTTAAAAAGTTGCCAGAGCTGCAGTTGATTAAATGCACGTTCGGAATCCAAATTACAACTCTTCCGGACGAACATTGAGGAGACGCGCTTTTGGTTTAACCCTTGCCCCTCTTTACAAGTGAACGTCAACAAATTGCTCATTCCTTTAAATGTTGAAATATCTTGCAACGGAAGCGACCTATTTATATCTCTGTTTGCTTTTTAAAACCTACCTTTATAAGTAACACATTTATGTATTTTCGGATGTAGGTACAGAGTTTATTGTGCAACGTCGTATACAAATTAGGCTTGAGATAATGCACGTCCGTTCGAAACCAAACACAACACGTGTTTTAAAATCAATATCGTGGTGATAAGCGGCAAAATCTTCAGCAAACAAAGCTACCGTGTTAACAGTGTACCTCTTCTGGGGACCAGGACAGGGCTTTTAAAGCCGGCTTACACTTTTAGAGAATGCTTATGTACGGGCTTTCGTGCCCACAGTTCAGCACAGATGACTGTTGTCTTTGGCTCTATTCCCATAGATTTTAGATCGATCTATCCCCGCGGGGAGTCTCACTAGATTACTTTCAGATAATCCGACTTAAATGTTCGTCCCGCCTACTACAAGCTGTAAGAGGGTAATTAACTTTCGTGTCCGCCCGGCTGACAGCTATTTAGCGTGAACCCCCAGGGAGTTAGGTCGATCTAAAGTAGGTCGATCTAACCTATGGGAATGGGGTGTTATTCACTGCCTATAATATGATTATATAAGTAAGGTGTGCCTTGGATCAATGGCCGCATTCAGAACAGTGAACTAACTAGTCCGTGGGTTAAATATGGCTGACCCACTTGAATACTTCCCCTATTCAGTGTCTATTAGCGGATTAGACGGCAAGCTTTGTACTGGGTCGCCATATTTGACCTGCAGACTTGTTAGTCCAATGTTCTGAATGCGGCTAATCTGACGCACACTATATGTCCCTTACTTCGCTTGGACACTAACTCAGCAGGCACATCGCCGTATGCGCAGGAGTAGTATTTTAAATTGGTTGTCTAGTGCAATTGTTTTCTGTTTGGCAGCTAAATGTTACTGTGAGATTGTTTAATTTACACTTAGACTGGTTACGTTTTGTCATGCTTTTCAACTTTTATACATGATCTAAACTGAACGAAATAGGCCTATTTATCACCAGTCGAACATCGCCAATGTCACCAAAATGTCGTGCTGTTATATTCTATGGACTTCTAACTAAAATGTGTGGAGTCCAGTTCCAATTTAACTTTCATGATAATTGTCACTTGTACACGAAATTCCTTTGTATCGACTTGACGCATGTCCTCAGTTCGCAAAGAAGTGCGGTAATAATTCTGCATAGTAAAAATGATGAGTATTCGAACAGTAAAGCAGGGAACTTGCAAAAAAAATAATAATAATAAATAAAAGGTGATATAAATAAATAAATACAAAACAAACAAACAAATAAATGTAAATCATGGTACATTGTAATAAGCAGTAATAGACAAAAAGGAAAAATGATTACTGACAGTGCTGCTCAGCTTTCTTTTGCGTAAATTTCGTGGTGCCTTTCTAATGGTTGTTATTTGAACGAAATAAATCATTCCGAGTTCTCTGATTCTTGCAACCTTTGGAAAATAATCTACAAATATTTGGCTAATAAAATACCTGCCCAAGTATTCCAATATATTGTGATAATCAACTGGGTCATCTGGAGGGGAGATAGGAAACAAACAATAAGCGCATTTACGTCAGTTTTAATTTACAGCAGTTGAGTAGTGGGTCTCCAAACAATTTTTAATTTCTTGGTTTTTAAAAAAAAAAATTCTTCTTTTTTCTTCTTCGTAACAAATGAAAAAAAGTGAAGTTGTGCATTTTGATATTATGAACAAGTGTCGTGGTCTTATATAAGATATAACTACTGATGCATTTGATGCTCAGAAATCCAATAGTTTCTGAAGTGACTAAAATGTGTGGAAAACAGAGTTTAGTCTCTTGAAAATGATTTACGCGCAATTATCATTACCATGAAAGAGAGAATAAAAAACTTGTGTTGTGATTTTTTATTTCTTTTTCGTTTCTTTGTTATTCATTCGAAAAAGGGCATTTTTAAGCCGGCGATTCTCGCTTTAATTACGAAAAAAAATAGTAGGGCATATACTCCAGTATGGTGGAAAATGGTCACATGATAACGATGAGAACGAAAGCGATCTCTTTTAGATCTAATAACCCCCTCCCCAAACTCCAGTTTCTTTAATTTAACTTCAAATTATAACTTCTGTACATACAGTAACATGTATGGTCAGGACTAAAGGCTATACCTTACCTATTGCTGCACATCTCATCACACTTAGTATTGCTAGCAGTACACGTATATTCCATGACATCCGCGTCGCCATCTTTTCAGTGTCGTCTCTACCATTTGTGCCTTATTAAACACACGTCGTGTTAATGACAGAGATACGCCGTGTTAATATTTAGACCAGTCGAAATATTTATCACCAGCCGAAATATTTATCACCAATCGAACATCCCCAATGTCACCAAAATGTCGTGCTGTTATATTCTATGGACTTCTAACTAAAATGTGTGGAGTCCAGTTCCAATTTTACTTTCATGATAATTGTCAGTTGTACACGAAATTCCTTTGTATCGACTTGACGCATGTCCTCAGTTCGCAAAGAAGTGCGGTAATAATTCTGTTGTACTTAAGAGAAAACCATGTAAACGACTACACTGTACTTCGTTTTTATACTCGGGCTTACAGACGTCTTATAACTCCATGTTGACAAATGACAAATGGCTTTCTCTGCGCAGGACAAACTTCAACGGGGCTTATCGCGGATTTCAATGTGCCAAGCTTGCGTTCATAGCGTGGTGTTATCAGGCCAGACCCGAGCTGCATATTGGATAGGTTTATCAGGACAATATAGCAACAAGAGTAACTTCCTGGTGTGACCTCAGCACCCTGTGTTTCAGATGGTTTTCTGGAAGCTCTCATAACAGAGCTGAGTTTCTAGAAACTCTGTGAAACGCAGGGCGGATCACGGAAGAGTCTTCCGTAAATTTCCCCAAACTACGAGCAATCGTCCCGAGTGTTAGAGGACCCTGACTCTCCTCTCTACTATCAGCACACTGTTGCATAATAGTAGTTTGGGGGGGAAATTGAATCGGCCACTTGTGTAAATTATTTCCTCCAGTGCATGGGTACCATTTATAAAAGAAAATACATCATTTGAAATACAAGATCAGTTGAAAAAATATGAAATAAGCATAATCGATATAAAATTAGGAAACAAATAAGGCCCGCCCACCTTCTGTGTTTATGTAGTCAAATTCAGCTTTCGAGAGAACATCGAAACTCGTATAAAAGGACGTATAAAAGGACTGAGATCTAGAACTCAGGGTGAAAAACAGTTCTCTTTATAGGATAATGGATGAATACTACCCTCTGATACATTGTATCATGGGCTTCTAACTTAGTATACAAAATTTAAGTATTGTAACGGACTAGTAACGCACCCTGCGGACAACGAGAAGATAAATACTATGAAATGACTAATGTCTCAAGGCGACGACCAGGGCCGTAGCCTGAGCAAAATGCAAGGGGGGGGGGGCAGTAAGCGGACACGAGGGGGCGAAGCTACCGAGGGGGGAGGGTGTGGTGTGTAAAATTCCAANAGGGGGGGGGGGGGGGCAGCTGCCCCCCCTGCTCCCCCCCCCCCCCGGAGGGTACGGCCCTGGACGACTGCTACATTGCTACCCTCTACCAGGGCTGCAGTTATTATTATGTGGACATTTTCTCTGAGGTTTACGGAGAATAATTGTGAATTTCACCAAAGACATATCTGTGAATATCTGGTGAAAAATCAATCTGTGGCCCTTGTCGAGGGTACTACAGTGTACATTACGGTGGATTACTACGAATTTATCATTGATCAAATATGGACACACCAATCTCGAAATCCAGACATATTTTTGACTCATGAATTTCAATGAACTCCTTGATAATATGAAGCTGCCAATACCTAACTTACATTAGTTTATTATTCTCAAAATTCAATTATTATCGATGTTGATTATCAGCAGGTGTTACTTGAAGTGCTTGATAAATTGTGCAGTCAACGGTTATCTTAAACTTTATTATTATTACTCATGCCTCAGTTTTACTGTATTATTGTTTAAAATTAAGTTATTTTTCGTGAACCTCTCATTTCGTTATTAATGATTAACACATTCATACTGCAAGAGAAGAGAAGCATGTAAAACATTGATCAATAATGTTACCTCTTTAAGATAAGTTAATATATAATGCACTCACCACTTGGCAATTTCTACGTCTTCCAGTATTTTGATATTTTATCTTAATTTTATTTGAAACAGCATAAAGAAGTTTACGAAACCTGATCTGGCTATTGGACGCAGATACAGCGCGGTAGATTGAATTGCAGCAGTTGTGCCGCTACGCATTCTTGGTTGTGTTGCCTCACTCACAAGGAAGGTGACTATTTGTGTGTTTATCTTGGTAAAGCTTCGAAAATTTTGTGAACGAAGTGCTTTGGCGTATCTAATATGCTTCGGGGAGGGGAGATGACGGTGTTACAGGATTAGCAAAAAAAAAAAAAAAAAAAAAAA